GCTAAATATATCATTATGCCTAAGTAGGCGGTCGGGTTTTTGAGGGGGCAACATACAAAAAGCTTAGCACATGCGAACATGCGAGGCAAAGAAATGGGATATGGGGGGGGGTCTTATTTGTTTGTTGCCTTTCCTTCCTCCCTTTTTTTTGGGGGGTGGCTGTTTGTCGGGGCTATCCTTTTTCGCATCCTCATCCTGGCTCCTTTCTTTGCTACTTTTTATAATCCTCACAGCTTGCATGTTTGCTTAGCACCTCCGAGGGATAAAAAGCGGGTCGATGATGCGGAACAGGTTTAAAAAGTTTAAGCCGGCGAATCCTGTTGTTGCGGCTACTGCGGGGGTCCTCGTTCTCCTTCGTTTGGGTTTTATATAAAATACATTTGGAAAAATTTACAAATCATCTTGCATATTTGATTTGCATACAAGATTTTTCATCGCCACTGCCAATACCTTTTCCCGGGACATCCTCCCGGGTGTTTTGAGCTTGTGTGTGTGTGGATGTGGGTGTCCTTGAGCTCGTTTGTATGTCGCCGAATTGCACAAGGGATTCACAAATTGCTTTCATTGATTGCCGACAAAGCCGAAGTGAGTGAGGTGAACGGGGACTTTGTGTGGCACCTTCGGTGGGTGGGTGAATGGTTGGATAAGTGTGGCTCCAAGCACCTTGACTGCCGGTGGGAATTTTCCTTAAATTTCCGCCAGTTTCTTCATGCTGCTGGTTTGGGCTTAAACTGCTGGCGGTAAAAGTCCACGGGCCACGTTGCGTATGAGTAATGTCGCTGTGGGCCGGCAGCTGAAGAGCCCAAACAGCATTTTATAACTGACCAGATGCTAAGAGCCGGGCCGCGACCAGTTGACCCATTTGATTTTCACCCGCTTCTTGCACTGGAAACAAATGAACCATCAAAGAAAGATGATTTTTATACCCGTTACTCGTAGAGTAAAAGGGTATACTAGATTCGTCGGAAAGTATGTAACAGGCAGAAGGAAGCGTTTCCGACCCCATAAAGTATATATATTCTTGATCAGGATCACTAGCCGAGTCGATCTAGCCATGTCCGTCTGTCCGTCTGTCCGTCTGTCCGTCTGTCCGTCTGTCCGTCTGTCCGTCTGTCCGTATGAACGCTGAGATCTCGGAAACTATGAGAGTTACAATACTGGGATTAGGCACGCAGATTCCTGAGATTCCTGCGCAGCGCAAGTTTGTTTCAGTAGAGTGCCACGCCCACTCTAACGCCCACAAACCGCCCAAAACTGTGGCTCCTACAGTTTTGATGCTAGAATAAAAATTTTAACTGAAATGTAATGTTCTCATCAATACCTATCGATTGACCTAAAAAAAAGTTTGCCACGCCCACTTAAACGCCCACAAACCGCGAAAACCTGTGACGCCCACAATTTTTATGCTAGATAAAAAATTTTAACTGAAATGTATTCGTCTCGTCATTACCTATCGATTGACTCAAAAAAAAGTTTGCCACGCCCACTTTAACGCCCACAAACCGCAAAAACCTGTGACGCCCACAATTTTCATGCTAGATAAAAAATTGTAACTGAAATGTATTGGTCTCGTCGATACCTATCGATTGATCCAAAAAAAAATTTGCCACGCCCACTCTAACGCCCATAACGCTTAAATCTGTATACCGCCGGTAGGTGGCGCATTTTAATCTCGCTTTGCTGCTTGCATATCTCCATTTAGCTGAGTAACGGGTATCTGATAGTCGAGGTACTCGACTATACCGTTCTTCCTTGTTCTAAATTTAGTAAGCTAATGAACAAGTTATTTTGTAAAAACCAGGAAAAATGTAGTTTTGGTCTTTATAAATTTAAGAAAATGTTTAATATTTAGGTGACCATTTAGATCAATATTTTTTCTGCAGTGCATTGTAGTTCCCCTGGCCATTTGTCGTTTGTTGCGTGCCGTGGACGTCTACGTGAAATTATTACGCTGCCATGCATCATCAAAAGTAAACAGCACAGCAGCAGCACAGCAAAAGCAGCTTGCCACTAGACAGCTTGAGGGATGGGGGAATCAGGATGGGTAGGGGTTTTGGGATGGGGATGGTGACCAGGAGGAGGACCAGGGCGGATCCCCCAAAATGTGCGTCTGACATATTGGAGAGCGGCAAGAGCCGGAAAAGTGGAAACTGGACGGTGGCCGCTGGGGAAAACTATAAATTCAGACCGGCATGCAACACGAAAAGCACACAGCGGGGAGGAAACGAAGGAAAACACACAAATATGTATTTAAACAGGCGTTTATTTAACCGCTAAACAATTGAAAAACAAGCCATCGTAATGAAAATCGCATTGAACTTAATTCATTATACCCTGTAAATTAGGGTTTCAGGGGTATTATAAATTTTACAAATGCCATACAAGATTTAGAACAATAATGTTGTGCTATCATATTTGCATATTAAAGTTTATCTTTACCTTATTTGACATGTCTCATGGTTTATTAACAAATAAAATTTTGTTTTAATTATTCCGCTTGACCATGTAGCGTATCTTTGTGGGGCATCAGCAGTTAGCGGGGTACTAGATGGTGGACATGCCACTAGAGTAATTGTTATCCTTGCTGGCTGTGCACAGGCACGTAAAACCCTTGAAACATGGACAGAAAAAGGGGGGAGGGGCCGACAGGACGAGGAGGACCAGGAGCAGGCCAAACAACAACGCCACTTCACGGCACGAGCCGTGCTGCAGGAGCTGAAACAATCCCATAAGCAGCACTCAGCGGCACGCACTTGAAGCCCGGCATCCAAGCATCCCAACAGCCAAGGATTCAAGGCTTCAAGGATCCAAGGACCCGGACCCGGGCAGCTAAAACTGCAATCGCAGCTGGCTCCGGAACCCGGATCCTTGTCTATTTGCCTTGAAGGAGGGCGGGGGGAGAACAGAACGCAGCTGGGACGGCACTTTCCTTCAAGGCTCAAATTTCGTTGCTACTGCTTATTTATTTTTAATATTTTTATTTGCCCTGCAAATAGGCTCCGGCGGTTTCGCTTCGCAGTATTATTTACTTTCGCTGTTCCGGCATCGCTTTATTTTTGTTTGCCAGTGGTTTTCCGGCGGGGCGAATCTTTGCATTCCAATGCGTTTCAATTAAGTGGGCCCGCCACTGTTTGGTCACGCAGAAATTAAGCAGTACAAGTCGTAGAAATCAGACCTCTAAAGTTGGCTGTTTAATTGAAATAGAAAGCCCCCTTTATACGAAACCCGATAAAAGCGGAACCAACAGGGGGCTGCCTGAAATAAGGCAGCAAAGTGGCAATCACGCCAATCACGCGTAATAAATCATTGCGTGAGTGAATGTTCCCATGCACCCATTTTATACCCATATATACATAGGTATGTATATATACTCGTATACCTGTTTGCCCAGTTTTTGTGGCATTTGGCGGGTCAAAAAGGCGGCGTAAAAGACGGAAACTCGACGACTAACGGCAGTCACGTGTGGCCAACACACGCAATGAGACCCGCCGTATTTTTTATACCCACATTTATATACAATGGCATAGCAGGGAAAACTCTCCAAACACGCATGAAAAGCGCAAGTTGACAGCCAAACAAAAGCCGAAAAGCAACGGTGGCCCATTGTGGCCCATGAGCGATGACAAGTGCGGATTGGCTACGCAAACAGCAATTAAAAAGCCAAAAGGCTTCAATTAATCCTTGACCTCTTGATATCGAGGCAAAGCCAAAGCCCCGACCTGCTGACCAACTGACTGGCTTTCTTACAGAGAGAAAGAAAGTTCAAGGAAAATAAATTCGGGGCTTTGGTATGCTAGTTTGTGGCCCCCATTATTCGCACAAGTTTGTGGTAGCATAATTTTGAAAAAGCAATAAAATTTAAATGTTAGAGGTTGAATGAATCAACAGTTTCCTAAGTATTCAAGTATCCTTAATTTTTTGTGGAAAATTTAGCATTTGAATATCAGTATCAAGAACGTAATTTTCTTAAAAAGTAGCATATTGATTTAACCCTTTTCTTAGGGATACATACATACATAGAATACTGAGTTGCGAATTGTAGCATCTAGAAATCAATAATGTAACATATTTTATAAAAATGGAAATTATTTTAAAGCAAAGCTTTTAAGTTCTCCTTATACTAAGATGATTTTAAGACTACTATATTCTTGATAATCCTTTAACTGCAAGAGTTTCCTAAGAGTTTGAAAACGTTTTAAGGCATTAAATACTTATTATAATCTTAGTTTAGGAACAATTACTACAGGTAAAAGTATTCTGGAAATAAAGGGAACTTGTCTGAAACACTTAGGTATTTCTTAAAGACCCTTTCAAGACAACAGTTTTCTTAATAAGTCCTCTGCTCTTGATTATTTGTCAGTGCTGTTGGGTGAGTAGAGGGCCTCAGCAGGTCCTTACGTACTTACGCCCTTATCATTAGGCAACCTAAAGTTGTGGACCACGCCCCCTCAGCCACATCCACATCCACAGCCCACAGGGCCCACATCCATTATCTTGAGCAAGCAGCGCGTGTAATTTTCAACCTGTAATTGGTGTAATTGAGTGCAAGTGCGGAGAAAATATTCAACATGCCAGCAATTAACATAAATTCTCCGCTGCGCGTACAAAAATAAAATAAAATAAAAAAAGGGAGAAAGCGGCCAAATGATAATGAAAGAAGCGCACACACACTTACACACGCTGAGGGGGGAGGGGGTTCCTGTGAAGATAAGCAAATGGCCGCCATTCCGTGAAGCGTTCATAATTGCCCGCGTTGTGGGTGTGTGTGTGTGTGGGGGTAAAGTGAGGCTGTATGGGTGTGGGGGCGTGACAAATGCAGCCAGCGATTTTATAGAAGGGTTCCGAAAGGGTAGCATACTTACATGCGCAGCGGGCTGAGCCGGAAGCGAAACCCTCGGCGGAAGTAGTTTATGCAAATGACAGACCCAGCATTCCACTTTTTCCATTCGCCCTTCGCCATTTTCTCACCGTTTTCTCCCCTTTCTCTTTTCTCTCTGCAGGAATCGAGGGCTTCCAGCGATTCTCGGAGCAGCCCAAGTACACGGAGGTGAATCCCGCCGAGGACACGCTGCTCACATGCAAAGTTATCGACAAGCGCGGCACGTGCTCCTGGCAAAAGGATAACAAGGTAATTATATCGGCTCACCGAGCCCATCTATCGATGGCCCCGCGCCAGTTTATAAACATTTTGATTAAACTCATAACTTGGCCAAAAGTCCCGGCCAAACACACACACACAAAAAACAAGCGAACTTTGCTGGCATACTAACACTAACAGGCTCACCGACGTGTCCTGGCTAGAAAACTCATATCATATGCGTGGCGCGTCCTGCGGTTCAATTAAGTGTTGTTCTTTTGGCCTCCACATGTGGCGAATGTAATTTACACCCTGACCAGGACGAGTCAATAATGAAAGTTGCCCGTGGAAGCGGGACAGGGTTCGGTGGGTAAGGGGTCAGGGATCACAGGACCTGGGAACAGCACCCCAGACAGCCTTTCTTTGTTCGCCGTTGATTAGAACACTGGCCGGCGCAACTTTTAATCGAAAGTGCGTGACAGCAGAGGACTGGGGAGGGGGGGGGGCAGATAGCCCCAATTGGATTTCATCCCAGCGCAAACATGAAAATATTGTTTGGCCCTCTCCATCAGTTGATCCTATGTGCAAAAAAGAACATTTTTCGCTTTAATTAATTAGGTTTATCTTGTCACGTTGGCCACTTTATATAGCGAAATTTTGTTTTGTAAGCCCAGTTTATTCAAGGCTCTTTCGTGCTAGCTAAAAAAAAAAAGTACAAAAACAAATGCCTGATAAATATAAAAATATTCAAAAATATGTTGTTTATTTTACAAACCGAGCGTAGTTTGCAAAAAATATTTCCTAACTTTTTTTTGAAAAACCTGAGTTGTTTTTACATGTACCATAATAAAATTTGTTCTTTGAGCTTAAAAAAATCTAAAAATCTTAAAGCAAGCCCCAACATTGAACTTTCTTTTTTCTACTACATTATATTCATATGGATTTGCTCTTGTAACAATTATTCCAAAATATTCCTTCTTCTAGTCCTTCTGTGGAACGACTGAACCACTTCGTTTTGCATTTGAATAGAAAATAAAAAGGCAGCATTAACCATTCATTTCTCAAGATGTGAAGTTTTTGTTAAATTTATTATTGTTCTTTACCATAATCTTGTTTTTACTGTTCAATATAATATTTATGTCCGGTGGCCTTAACTCAAAGTTGTGTTCTGGCCATTTGTTATGGCCATTGTGGGCGGTATGGGATTGTGGGATCCCGGACCTTGAGCGACTTCGTTTGCATACCAATCCAAAGTGGCCTCATTATGGATCAGCTCCGGGCTACGGCGAGAGGGAATATGTGGTGGCCGTTTGTTATTCAGGGCAATTGTGTGCGTTTGAAGCATAACTTTTATTTGCCACTCCCTGCAGTGTCTCTAGACCCCACTTCCCACGCCCATCCCCACTTGTTGTGGTAGTTGCTTATGCAAATGCACATAGGGACCTCAGTGGAGGGGGATTTAGGGGGTCCTTCGCCATTGTATGACAAAAATCAGAAAGCATTTCAAATGTCCCTTTTCATATGCTGCGCATCGCAGACTCTCGCTCTGCATCACATACTTAAATGTTTACATGCTTTGTGTCTCTCCACTCGAACAAGTTGAAGGAAGCGAAAAGGACGCAGGACGAAGGACTAGGGCAAACAACATTTGCATGCATCGAGCGTCGCACACACACAAACATGCTGATGTTGCTGTTTCGGGCTTCATTTAAAATTCTTCTTATTTTTGCATACTTATTCCACTTTCCTCCTTTTTTCCTATGTGTGCTTAACGTTTCCCAATTTCCTCCATTTGGCCATATAGTTCTGTCCATACATTCTACGTGTAGTTATCATAAGAAGCGACATTTCGAATCGTTTGTCCCAAAAAATCCGAAAAAAAAAATAAAAGAAAACAGGGGTAGGGGTCATGGGTTGTGTCCATTCACGAGCTGCATTCTAATTTAGCCAAAGGATGTCTGTCGAGAAATTTTCAATTCTATCCATGCCTCATCTGTGTGTGTGTTTTCTGTGCAGTGCATTTCCTGATAATTCCAAAGCACAAATGGAGAATATTTTCGAGTATGATATCAACAACCAAGCTCCAGCCATTTGAATAAATGTAATTTTTGGCCATCGCACCGCACATTTTTTTTTATTCCAGGCAAACTCCGGAGTTTTGCCTCGATTTTGTTGCTTGCAGTTACCATTTCGAAGTTGGAATATGCGGAGAATTATGCCGATACGAGTATCGATTCGAGAATGTTTTGGCAGCATTGGCAGCCTCAATGGGCCAGAGCCAAATATTTGTTCGGTTTTGATTTTTTATCTCCCAGCTAAAAATTGTTTTTCTGGCAGTTTGGCAGTTCGGTCGCCCATTGAGCTCGTATCTTTTGTTGCCGCAGAGCCCGCAAACTTAGCTTAACCCATGGTGGGCATTGATTATTCCCTGTGGCCTAAGGTCAGTGGAGTCAAGTGGGAGCGGTGGTATTTTAGACATCAGACATGCCAGCCGCAAGCTGTTTAATAAAACAGAGATACTGTATTTTATGCTGGCTGGCCGGTCGTCATCTCAAGGTGGTCAAATGCATGTCACACTTTATTTTATCGGCCTGGGACAAACAATATGCATTTGTGGCCATTTCCGCAAATTTAAACAACGAATTTCAAAATGGCAGGACAGAATAGATTAGATTATCCACTTGCATTTCCTTTCGGTTTCTTTCAATAAATTTGAATGCTCGCTTTAAGCAATTGTTTGGGCCATGGCACAAACTCAATGTAGCAATTAATTTAACCCATTATGCCACGGACAACGCAGACAACACTCAAAGCCGAAATGCAATTAGCCAGCTCTGTTCCAGGGGTTTTTGGGGGGCCGGTTCCCATAAATACTTAAATGCGAACGATGCCACGCTCAGAGATCACTAATTGTAATTTAATTTCCAATTAGCAAACAAACTAATGCCAATTTACGGACAGAAGCGACTGAAACGACGACTGAAAATGGAGTTAAATGACACGTAGTGGTGGTGGGTCGCTGGAAAAGTGGAGTGGTTGTGGAGGAATTTGGGGGGGGGGGGGGGGGGTTTCGGAGAAGGCCACCTACTGGGCTCCTCCCCCTGTCCATTAGCTCGTCGATTTGTCTCTGTATGTTTGTCCAAATCGGAGACCAAATTAGTCGCCCGACTGCATCGAAAAGTTAAACATGCTAAACATGTCGTAGACGACGCCCAGTTCATTTCAACGCCATCATCGTTTTCATTCCTATCCATATCCTGACTCCGTTCTTCAATCGACACAGAGAAAAAGAAATATGATTTCAAAACCTATGTTTTTGGGGGTGATACAGAAACTTGCACGTAAATCACTAGTAATTTAGCCATTATTCCGACGATTAAGCTTAGCATTTAGTGCAAACATCCTTTAAAAAAATGTGACCTAGTAAGAACATGTTATAAACTTCTTAAGTATCGGATTGAGTGTTATCGATAGATCAAGATCAAGCGCAGCTAACTTCAGTCAAAACAAGTAGAAGAAGAAGAGTAGAAGGAAAAAGTTTAACAATTATTAAAATCATTGGTTCTGCAGAGGATTCTTTACACATTGATAATTAACAAATGGAATACGATTAACACAAATGAAGCCCGTATCACAAGATTTGTTTTAATATCATAAAGACAAACATAACCCATTTTGGTGATCCCTTTTTCTCCGAGTGGAACTAACTCAATCCATTTCCTTGTTCCCCAGCCCGTTGGCATCTATACAAAGAAATACGAATGGGCCTCACGTATCCCGAGTAGCGACAATGGGAACGTCCTGCATCTGGACCTCCACCCGCCGGCGGTGCAGCTTGGCGGCGACTGCTCCCTGTGGATCCGCTCCGCCACGCTGGACTTCGACGACGGACTGTGGGAGTGCCAAGTGACGGCCAGTGACTTCACCACCCAGGATGCCCTCACCAGCCAGCCGGTGCGACTTGTCGTACGTGGTAAGTGCCTCGCATCGATTGAGGGGTCTGCCCATGCAAACTGTCCCTTAATTCACCGTGAGTCCTCGAGACCTAATTGCCAAGGACACTCCCTTTCTGTTTGCAGTGGCGCCGCAGCGGCCGAGGCTCGAGTACGAGGCGGTACACGTGCCGCCAGGACACAACATCACCGCAGACGCCGGCGCCCTGGCGACGGTCAAGTGCGTCTCGCACTACGGCAATCCGCCGGCCACTCTCAAATGGTTTTTGGGTAAGTGCATTCCTGCTGACCACGAACAACAAAATGTGTGTACTTTTAAGTGAGGATATGCGTGCTTGACAGAGAAGAAATTATCATGCGACATCCAAGCTAAATCGTTAGCATGTACTTTATTCTTCAAGAACCTCTTGAATATATTTTAAAATATAGTTTTTATATGACTAGTACTTTAAATATTAATCATAGAAAAGTATTATGTCTATAAAAATGAGAATTAGCTTTCGCAGGCATTTGTATTGAAGTCCGTACTAGCATTAACCATTGGTTTAATACTTTTAAAAGTAAAATATAATTTTTCTACAAGTTTTCTGATATTTTATGAGAGATTAAAACTTATTAATTTCTTTCAAAAGTCCTAAAATTCCTCTTTTCATGTTTAAACTTGAGCTTAATTGCTACCTTATTTTTCCCGGTGCGGGCTGAAGCACAACCCCTTCTTTCAGTTGTTATCCAGCGGTAGTTGTTAATGTTAATTAATTCCCATTTGTTTCTCTCCCCCGCAGGCGACCAGGAGATATCGCCCATCCACCCGCAAATGAATGCCACCGAGCCGGATAATCCACGCACCTGGTCGGCCACCTCGGTGGTGCAGGTGTCTGCAATGCGGGAGCGCCACGGAGATATCCTGCGGTGCGCCGCCTTCCACGAGTCCTACACGGCCAAATCGGTGGCGGTGGAGGCCCGCCTGGACGTGAAATGTGAGTGTTGCGATAACGATAGGCAAACGGCTATACCCCATACACCATACACCTGCATCCTGAACTGAAGGCCACTAAAGTGCCTTCATTTAATTTGGCTTTAAGTGCTGGGCAAACTAAACCCAGACGGAGCAACAGCGGAATCACAATCCCAATCCGAATCGGAGACAGAGAGCTGTAACAATTAAATTAACAACAATTTGCTGTAATTTCCTGTTTTGCTGAGCAATTCAAGAGTTGACTTGTCCCAAAGGACGTGGCCAGAAGCAGGAGCAGCTTGTTGACTCTGCTTGCTCGACTGCCATTCTATTGCTGTTTCTGTAGTTTCAATTGCTGTTTTTGTTTTGCCTAACCAAGTTGAACGTCTCCGTTTCTGTTTCTGTTTTGTCGCAGACGCGCCGAGCATCCGTCTAATTGGCTCGCCGGAAATCGACTTGGAGGAGGACAAGGATGCGCTGGTCCTGCGCTGCGTGGCCGATGCCAATCCGCCGGCCAGCATCGTCTGGCGGCGGGCCGGTCGCTCTGAGATAGCCAGCTTGCAGGTGAGCTTAGCTGCAGCTACCCAACTTGTTTATGTTGTTCCCAAATTGCTCCTGCTCCAGCTTCAGACTCCCTCGCTGGGTATTTATCTGGAGTGTAGCAGAAATGTTGTAATTGTATTAAATTGCCTGGTGATCCAACTCCTGCTCCTTCTTGCCCTTTCTCCCACAGGAAACTCTGCAATTGCGTCCCGTCGGACGGCGCGATGCCGGATTGTACACCTGCCAGGCGCAGAACTCGGTGGGCACCTCCGAGCAACTCTCGGTGCAGTTGGATGTGAAATGTACGTATCTCAGTATTTACCTTGGACAAAGTTTTCACCCAGCCCTGTTTTTGTTCCCTCCTCCCTCTCCTGCCCCACCAGATCCTCCCAAAATTATTTCAGCTGGCCCGGATCGTCTCACCACCGCCCCGCTTTTTAGTCCTGCCGCCTTCGAGTGCCTGGCTGATGGTAATCCCCTGCCATCCTTCAAATGGGTACAGAGGTGAGTCCATCGACATGTATATATTTAAATACACTGAAATCTCGACCGTTTCGGTTAAGAAGGGTATTATCTACGGCTCAATTTATTCTAATAATCAAAATGTGGGTTTTTATGGTTAGGCTCTTTCGGAAATAGAATGTATTTATATAATTTAATCGTACAATTCGCTGTTAAGTGGGATTAGGATCTTTCATTATTAACCTTGTTGTATTTTCAGCAATAAGTATAAGTGTTTTGTCCCGAGTTCTTAGATCGAATTTTGCTTAAAGAAGACTTCACAATTCCCAAAACCAATTCTGTGAAATCAGTTTTCTCGGTGTGCATAACTTCTGGTTGCCCCCACTGAAGTTCTTCGGCAGTTTGCCTTGCATACTTTTGGTGGCTCTACCAGGTTTTGTGGAAAACTTCCACGGTCTTGCTTTAAATACGTGGCTCTTCTCGGAACTTTACTGGTCTCGTGACCGGTTATTGTAGTCGACTGAATGGTAGCGCTAATTAAACGCGGTTCACTCTGCGTATGCGCAATATTTGTCCCGCCCCTAAGATGAAGATGATGTAGAAATGCCTGCACTTTATGCAATAATTAGCAGCACATTCCGCACCCTCAGCAAGGAGTTGCCTTTTTTAAGGCTTCTTGCCTGTGGGAACAGCATTTCCCTCTTACGGGAGCACATTTCCTGTTGCACATTTCCTCTTGAGAAGGCTCCACGCCCATTTCCAACAAAGCTGATGATATTTTGCGTAATTTTAATTAGCTGTTCAACGGAAATTGTCTGAGCCAAGGGAAAACAACACGGAACAAGGTCTGTTGTTTGACACACTAAAGGTGGGGTGCCCTGTAATTTATCATATTTAAGATAACCGAATGAAAGAAATCTTAATAGGTGCCTTGTAAAAAGGCAAATTAAGATAATAACATAATGGATGTCAAACATTATTAAAATCGTAAGGATTGCCTTGAGAGTTGGTATTCATACATATGACACATTTTTTGATTTTGTGTACTGAGCCAAATGCATACACCTAAGTTGTATGCCCGATCGCATATAGCCGACTTTCGTTAGGGTAGTAAGAAACCATCTATAATGCCGGCAGGATTAGGCTCCTTCCGTTTCTCCTTTGGTCGTTGATGGCTATATGCATTAGTATGCAAAGCAGGCGGATTCTGTGGGAAAAATCGAAACACTCCTCATGCATATGACTGTCTATAGCGCTCCGTCTCTTTCTGTGGCATCTACCCGTCTCTTTCTGGCCCCGGTGCTCTTTGATGCTGCCACGTAAGTACGTGATTTTTGTGATTCCATTTGTTTGCACTTGCCCCCAGACAATTGGGCCAACATAAAACATACACAGAGCTACGCCGGATCGTGATCGGGCTTATATATGGGACTTAGGACATGGGATGGGTGGTTGTTATGCGAAGGTGTCGCCATCTAATAACGAATGCCACATGCAACACATTGACGTGTTGACTTAATGAAGCGAATGCGCGCGTGTTTATCAGAAATTAAATGTCAATTGTTGAAAACTAATTTCCACGCATGTTCTCCAAAATCTCCCCCATGCTTTCACCCACTTTCACCCCCCATTTCCGCCCACCGAATTAAATGGCGCGTGCCGTGTTGGGTAAACAGTGGGAGTCGCCCATTTGGAACTGGCGGGTAATAAATCAATGCCACGAAGTGAGCCGCTGACAGGCCAGGCGACGTATGCTCGGCACATCCTTAATCTCCTCTCCTCCCAGGTGGTGGTGGTGTCCTTCGAGTCCTTCGACTGGGCTGCAAGTGCAGCCGTTGGCCGGGCGCCTTGCAAATGAGGTACCCAAGGACACGACACAGGACACGAAGTCCTGTCACTTTGATTTACGTGATTTCACCGCTCTCTCTCTCTGGACCTTCGAGAAATGGAACCGAAAAGAACAGCGCTTGCCAAACTTTTTCGACTTCGGAGATTTGCATTTGAATGGCTTTCTAATTTATTGCTTTTAATTGCTGTTTGCCAAGGACCAACTTAAAGATCCTTGCTGCCACTTTAAGCACCATCGAATGAATGTATTGGTTAAACCGTTCTTTTTTTCCATCCTTTTTTGCGGCTCCCTCAAAAGAATCTGTGGGCAGACTGAAGAGCCAGGCACCCCGGAGCATTTCGCAGCTTGAAAGGCATTTCTCATATTAAAAATGTATCAAATATTTCTGTGAGCCAGCTCTCTTTCTGTGAGTCGGGCAGCCTGCACCGAAAAATAACTCATACGCATACGCAATTTTCAATATTGCCAAGCAAGGATTGCAGCAGCGGAGGACACATGGGAAAAGTGGAGGGGGGCAGGAGGTTTTGGAGCAGGATGAGGAATGTGGCCTCTGCTGCATGCATCAGTTTCATTTTGTCCGACTGGGAGCAGCTCAAAGAGCGAGCTGCAAAGTATGCACCAGGCCAGGGTCCGTGGCCAGATGGAATCCGTATATTAGTCGGGCATAATCATAATCAATTGCTCCACGAAAAAGCTCTTTCTATCTGGGTAACGACCAATCCTTGGTTTTGTGTTGTAAAACCAGGATATATGCTGTCGACATTGCCGTCATTGGTTTATTTTGTCCCGAAACGGACTTACACCAAAGGTTTCCCCTCTCCTGAAGAATTCGCGGTTCAATTACTTCACATCCTTCAGTCGACATTTGTTTTAGGACCTTCAAAAAGCTTTACATTTTTGGCAAGGGATTTTACATTCTATTTCATTCTTAAAAGAAGTTATAACTTTTATTGAAAATAAAAAAGGCTCGGTAATAAAAACGGTATTTACAATTTTTGGGATCAATCTAATGACATTATATTTCAGTAGGATACTCTTCCTTTTTTTATTTCTAATGAAATGACTGAAGCATTAATTAGTTACATCTCTGACTTACACACATCGCTCCTTTTAATATTAACGATGGTTTTAATTTTCTCTTTCTTACATTCCAGAATGGCCCACGGATCCAAGTACGTGGAGCGGGGCTCGGAGTCCAGATTGGTCATCGACAACGTCACCTACGAGTACCAGGGCGAGTACGAGTGCCGGGCGACCAGCTACATTAATGGCCAGGAGCGAGTGGCCATATCCGATCCGGTGTCGCTCCAAGTTGTGGGTGAGTTCCTATCTGCAGTGCTTGTGTCTGCTGTGTGTGGTGTGGCCATAAAAACCGCAATGCCACGAAATATGACGACAACACGGCAGGGTCCGCCACTTGCATGTTCTCCACCTGACACGCACTGAATCCTCTAGGATCCAGCGAGGCACTGCGGCATGGAATTGCCAACGGAGCCAGCGGAATGGAAAGAGTATCACGGGCTAAGGGAACGGTCCATGTTTGCGGTCATAAATCTGCATCCCGGCTCTCTTTGCTTTTTTCGATGTCAATTTTAGTCCGGACCGGGCTAAAAATGGAGACCAGTGTCATGGAGATGGCCAGCATGGCCACAGAGAAGGTGACAACGCAACCGGATAAAAAAAAAGTGGGGAAACAAACGTATTCCCCCTTGGGCTACTCATTTAAGTCCGCCCCTCGTGCGGCTGCCGTGCAACTAATGCACACTTAAAACAACTAACAAAACTCCATTAAAAGCTGCAGCCGGAAAGCGCCTGCAAAACATTTTAAGCGCTTGCGTTGCCACCTCCACGTCGCCTTCCCACTTTCCCGCTTTTCCGCTTTCCCTTCGATTTTCCCTTACATTTTCACCATAGCATACCGTACCATACAATTTCGCGGTGGCTAGCAACTAGCAACTGGGCAACGGACTAAACCAAAACGTAACACAAAATCAAAATGAACTTATGACCGCAGCGAAAGCGGAAAAAAAATGGAGCTGCAACTGCCGAGGGCGAAAAACTGGACAGCAAACTGGGCGCACAAAAAAGGAAAGAACTCTAAAAAAAAGAGCAGCAAGAAATATTTAAATTTAGTGCTGAATACCACAGCACGTACATAATTTATGACCAACCAAGGACACGAGCAATTCAGCAGAGCCGGGGACCAAAAAAATGGACAAAAATAAACATGCACACGAAAAAAGTCCTGGCCAAATCTATACATATTAACGTGTGTTTGTGTGTGTGAGAGTGTCAAGTTACTAACAAACTAACTAACTGCGACTGAGTGCCAAAAAAAAAAGGAAGGCTCCACTTTTTCATTATTGGGCAATAATGTACCTCAATTACATAATATATATTACATATTTTTATTTCTGCGTGATCAAAAACTTTGACAAAATAGATGGAAAAGCGTTAAATTCATGCAAAATATTAAATATTTAAAAATTCTGTCACATGTTTAAAATCCTAGTAAAATCCTGGCAATACCAATTATTTTTCTTAATATTACATTTGTTTTAGAAAAACTCTCAACAGTCTTGTCATTATAAAAAATTGTTAGGTACCCTAAAATTCAGAATTTAATACTTGTGATTTGAGTTTATAAATTATAATGATTACTTGGACAATTAATAATAATAATTATTGTTAAAGCAATTAAGAATCTATCATTCATAAATATTATTTTCAATTCTTGATTTTTAGTTGAAATTTGTTAACGCCTTTTTATGAAATATATCCAATTCGACACACAGATTAACTTAAAATTGTAAATCTTACAGAATGATTTCACTTTAAACATATATGTAAAACGTAAAGAGTGAGGACTAATTTGTGTTAGGTTCCTCGCCTATCCAAGTTCCGTTCACCCTTAAAGCAATTGAAACGGCCGCATCGGGTGGTTGAACTGCACCCTTTGGCCACTCTATATAATTATATTCGGCAGTGCGGCTGGGCGAATGCGTTGCGCCACACCAACTCAATTAAAAAGTCATCTGGCCGGACTAAACGCGACTCCTTTATGCATTTTTCACCTTGTTTCCGTTGTCCTTGCAGGTGCCCCCCAGGTGCTGCGCCTCCATCCATCCCTGCACACCGTCTCCGTGAAGCGAGGAGAGTCGGCCACCCTGACGATGGTCGTCTGTGCGGATCCGCGGCCACAGCGCGTCGCCTGGGAATGGGGATCTCTGCGTCTGGAGGCCGGCTCGGGCATCGGTGCGTATACTTGTTTGATAGGCATTTACCGCTCAGCGCTTACCATCCGCCCCATTGGTCCGCGCTAATGGTAATGCAATTAGGCGCTGGACTTAGTTTTGCCTACTCGGAATTCAATTAGCGCCGCTTTACAGGATGCACAACCATGGCTGCTCGAGGGCTCATTAGATTAACTATTCCCGCAAAAAGGGTTCGGCATAGAACATTCGCACAATTGCAAGTCGCGCCGGGTTGTTCCGCAAATCAAGACAAATTACATGACCGAATGGAGTCAGAGTCGGACAAGAAACTGGCAGTGTCATGTCCGATGTTGGAAAGGAGGGGTTTCGAGGTGGGGGTTGCCTCGGGCAGACTTCCCACGCCTGTCAGCCGCCGGTAATCCGAGCTTCAACAGACAGGCAACACACACAACCCAGCTCATTTTCCAGCTGAAACTCTTTCGGGATGAACATCCGCCAGCAGATGCAGCTGCATCTCCTTCCCCCTTTTTCCTCCGTTTCCCTGAACTTGAACTGCATCCCAGCCAGCCAGTGTTGGCCATTGTTGCCAACTATTGATTACCTGGTTTATCTCTACCTGAAAATTGCTAAATTGAACTACGAGTAATTAGCCAAGTGCTTATAGATTTATTTTAATTGAAATTTTAATACTTACACAGGAGAAAATGTAATTGAATAATTTAATATTGATAAATACTTTTTTATATACTCAGGCTTTTTTCAATCAATAAATTTAAACCCCTTTTTAATAACTTGAATATAAATATATAGGCCTTTGAAAGACTTAAAAAAAGAATAAATAATAATATCCAGATATTAACAGACGGTAATAATATTCCGAAAACATGAACATAAAAGAATATTCACATGATGATATTTATTCATACTTAGCTCAAGGCAGATGTTTATTCTATATACAGCTTTATAAGAAAGAAAATGTAGCTGAGTTGGCACCTCTGGCCCAGGGTCTGTGGGTCGCATTATTCTTCATTTTCAGCTTGTCTGCCCGTGTCCATCCTTGGTCGTCCTTCGTGCGTGTAATCCTGCGTGCTTTCACTGCCACTGACACAAATCAAACGGGGCGCATTCCCGTCCAATCCGTTCTCCATCTTCCTCCAGCCCTTTTTCCGCGTCCAATGGTAGTTAGCCCATCGAATCGAATGATTAATGTCGGCCGCCGACAAATTGTGTGCAATTCTAGTGCAATTACTTAGCCCACGAAAGCCAATTCGCATTTGGCATTTGCAGTAACAAGGACTCTCCTGTTTTTTTTTTCCTTCTCCACCCCTCCGCAGATCGCTTCCGGGCCGACGACATGCAGCCGGACACTCGGGAGGACTGCTACCTGTCCACGTTGCACATCCTCCACGCGGACGAGCACGACTCGAGGCCCTACTACCTGGTGGTGGAGAACGAGCGGGGCACCGATCGTCATGCCATACACCTGATTGTGGAGGGTACGTTTGCAGGTGCATAGACTTCTTTGATTTTCTTTGCCCCCACCCATATCACCCCACCTCATAACACGAACATTTCACACTTGAGTTACACTCCCTGCAATCATTTCATACTCGCGCGTCTCTAGCACTTACTGAATTACATTTTGAAGTAGAACTTGTAGTTGGAACTAAGAGATAAAAGGTTACAACATTTTTGATATGTTGCTAAGCTTATTTAATGAATTAAAAAATTTAAATTAAATTATTAAGAATAATTTCAAAAGACTCTCCGCTTAAATTCAATTATTCCATTGTTCTTATTACAAAACACCGTCTCATATAGCAGATTATTATTGTTCCCCTAGATTGATAATTAGGTTTAACAACTTAAGAACCTTTGAGACAAATAATAACTAACCAAAGCTCGCTTGGATTCGAATGCTAGTGTTGCATACATTTTTTTCATGTAACCAATGTAATATTATGATAGCCTGATTTTGAAAACTAATTAAAGAGATCGTACAAAAAAGGGAAATCATTACATCTAACCATAACCCCCGCATCGCATCCCAACGATTTTAATTAAAATCAATCGTACGTGCAATATAGTACATGTATTGCATAATATATCTAGAACATATGAAAATGAAAATTCCCCTTAATGCTTGCATAATCAACACCACCACCACCACATCGAACACCCAACCGTGTATCGAATCGTATGGAATTCCCGGACAGAACCCTACGAGATGAGCTACCTGATGGGCGTGGCCGGGGGCTGCATGGCCGCCATCCTACTGCTGGTTTGCCTCTGTATCTATGCGATCAAGAGCAAGAGATGCTGCTTCAAGGGTAAGTTGAAATGGGGGAAGTCCCCATCCCCGGAACTCTAACATCGCAGCCGTATTAATTGCACACCCAGAACCGTCAAGGTTGCGACAATTAAAACTTCCTCCTTGATTATGGCGCCTGTTTCCCCAACACCTCACCACCCTGAGCAACCCAATCCAAGGCAACCCCAAGGCCGCTGTCACACTAATTGCAAAAACACAAAAACTTGCCAGCTCACAAAGCATTGAAATGCGAGAAGGACGCGGTCATGGCGGAAAAAATGGCAGCCAGGATGGATGCGTCTCTTTAGCGCTTTGTGTGTGTTGTGTTGGCTCTTTTTCCTTTTTTTCTATTTTTTATTTTTTGCTTTATTCCCATTCTCCTTGAAACTCGAAACTCAAATAAATCTCATAAAATATTCATTAGCGTCCAACGCCTGCGGTCAGTCTCCGTTTCCTGTTTCCCTTCTGCCACCCCAAGCCCAACCCCCTGTGCACACAAAAGGGTTAAGGGTTTCCAGCCAGCTTTTTGTTAGCTGCGCCAACATTTTCATCTCTCCTTTTGGCGAAGGAACAAGGCTTTAAGCCAGAGCTCGCTGCCTAATTAGAAATCAAAACGCAGACAAAAAGGCGGTGAAACTTTTTACAATTGTAAAACAATTTGCTAAGGAGCAGGGGAGCGGTGTAAACTTTGCCATTGCTCAAGGACATTTGCAGCATTCCTGCACACGGATATGCTAGACCCATCAACCCATACACATCATCCCATCATCTGTAAACACTCTTCAGGCGCCCAGTTCCCAGTTCCAGCCACCTAATCGCAATTTCTCAGTTGTCAATCAAGCTGTCAATTTGACTGGCTGACTGACTGCTGCAGCTGCCTTCCAGTTGTCAAATGCCGTTTGACAGATCTCTCAAGTGCGACCCGATACTATATGTATCTCTGGCTGAGGAGCCTGCCGTCACCCCTTCGATATCCATCAAAATTTGCAGCAACACCTACTCGGGAATTTACACGTTCGTCGCAATCAATAAGTCCTTGTCTCATTTATCACGGCTCCAAGGGCGAATTTCAAAAATATATATCCCTCTGTCTAGCTGTCTGTTTGTAAATTGCCATCGGTATTTTCACAGCTAATTTCTACTATTTTGCAAGCAGCCACACAAGACCGCACCCTTCGCAGAATAATGGGCGGAATTTATATTCCTGAATATTGCAAACTCTAATATGAAACTTCCCCTTTCTCTTTTTCTTTCACTTCTCGCATGGCACAGGTTCCACGGGCTATAAATCATCGGATAAAGACAGGTAAGTTGAAGCGTAATACGTACACACCCTTTCCCTACCCACACACACACAGTTCTATATGTAAGGGGATAGGGGTAGTCGAGCCATAGATAAATGACCATTTTGATATATTTTTATGCAGCCGCATCCTGCAGCCAACAGGTGGCGCTGGCGTGCCAATTTATGCGCCCCTACTGGCCGAGTACAGGAACTCGCCCACCCATACAAAGGCACACGTACAGCATTGGAACAATGAAAAATGTTTTCCACTGCTCGTGCATGTGTGTGTGTGTGGGGGACATAAAATATTATACATTTTTCATATATTCAATATATGCAATGTTTTTGCAAGAACAAAGCAGAAATACCCTCACACAAGGTCGAAAAAGTGAATCAATTGGGAAGGGATTAGCTCTATAAAGCGGATTTGGTGTATACTTATATTGTTACAGGATCAAATTGTTATTGGTATTTTTAAGAACATTTAAACCATACCTTGTTATTCTCTACAAACAATACTATCTCAGAAACTAATCTTTTACCTCTACATCATTTGTTGAAAATTTTTTTGATACTGAACCACATTTAAGGGACGTACTTTGATGTTCATAAAACCCAATTTGAATAGATATTAAAGGATAGTATAATACACAGTTGAAAGGGTATTTCAATAATTTTTTGTTCTCCAAAAGCAAATTTAAAAGGAGGAAAACAACCTATCGCTCATTGTTGTTGCCAGCCATGCAACCAGAACCCCGAATATGAGTTATGAGAGGTTGTTTGGCCATTCACCGCTCTCCATCCTTTTGTTTCCCTAGTTTAGGAGTTTAGAATTACTATGTTTTGTTTATGAAACCGTACACATGGCAGTGTAAAGCCCCATCAAATGGATCAATATGGAAAAGGAGAACGGAAATGGATTTAGAATTTCCGTTCCAAGTACGCTCTTTGACCACATTTTCACAAAACTCGTTTTGTAGGCTGAATTTGTGCGCCAATCTCGAGAGCAAATTGATGGGCTCGGAAGGCAGGGGGAATATTTAATTTCCTAAGCCCCAAGTAAACAATTGCCTGCGGCCAACCAAAGGCAGCGACAAAAACTAAATAGATATTCAGATATGCTGCTAGAATACAATTTGCCAATCAGCGTTAGAAGGCCAAGAAGGCCACCCAACCACTTAGTCAACACCCACAGACAATTGTCACTTGGGCAAACAATTTTCGATAACGATTTGGTATGCCCCTTCTAACTTTTCCGTTTCCCTTCCGTTTGCCCGCAGCGAGAAAGCTGATTTGAAATCACGCTCGGATAGCACGAGTGGCCCTCAAGGTGATTCGATTTACACCACGCCTGCGGGCTTCCATCATCACCAGCAGCAGCAGCAGCAGCAACAACAGCAGCAGCAGCAACAGCAGCAGCAGCAACACGCCGCAGCAGCAGCAGCAGCGGCCCTACACGCCGCATCAACCCAACATGCGCAGCAACAGTACCCGGGACACGGATCGCCGGAGGCAATGAAGGTACGCATGGCTGCAATGATATTACAACCGCCCACTAGGGTCTAGCAGGCAATTGACACCACTAGCGAGTCCAACGAACAGCTAACGCCACATGAACAGCAACACGAACTGATAGACCAGACTAACCAAACGACCCCAAACGAACAGCGACTTGATGACAGCAACGTAAGCCACAATAATAACAACCACAAAACCAGTTCCACATCGACTACTGCCCTGACCAATAGCGATAACAACAATCTGACCACCTCAGAGGTGGCCAAAAGTGACAAGACCGATAGTAGCAATAGTGAGGGCAATAGTTCACTGACCAGCAGCAAGAGTAGCGGGATCAAGCGGGATCTGGAGAACAACATGAACAGGGAGCTGAAGCCACCAACGGCGCCCAAACTGCTCCACCTGAACGTGACAAGTGTGGAGCAGGAACCAGATCCCCTGCCAGTGGGTCCCTTGACGCCCGAGGAGACCCAGGTGCTGCTCCAAAAGCTGAGCATCAACAATCCCTTCTACCGCTTCCGCAAGCAGAGCAACTCCTTGAAGGAGCTGCGGCGGAATGGCAAGGCAACTTCCGCCTCGGTCCGCTCCCGATCCGAGACGGATCTGGGCCAGGTCAGTGGACAGCAGTTGTTACCACCACATCAGCAGATGCAGATGCAGCAGCAGCAGCACAGTGAAGCCAAAGTTGTAGTTGTACTAGAGAGTAAGCAGCAGCAGGAAGTATCCATAAGTAGGCCTAGGAGTAGCGTTAGCCTTAAGACTAGATCAGTAAGCAGCCTAAGGAGCCCCTCCGCCAACCAGACGGCGGGGGACAGCTCCACGGTGATCACGAATCCCTTCTCCATATTCCACGACGATGAGATCCTAACTTTAAGCGTGAATACGCGACTGAGGAGTGCAGGGCATGCTAGGAATTCCAGACCCCCAAGACCCCAGGGTAGGGGCTTGAGGAGACTTTTCGAGTCCACTCGTAGTCAGAATCCCCCCTCCGAACACCACTATCTGCATGGAGTGCCAGTGCGGCGCTTCGAGCGGCAGGACTTTGACAACGATCCTGGGGATTTGTTGGGTGGCAGAAGGACGAACACCTCCAGTGGTAAACCCAAGCGATCAAGGGCCATCTTCAAGCAGCTGTCCCTGAGAAAGCTGCACCAGCGAGGAGGAGGAGGTGGAGTGGAGGAGCCACCTTCGCTGCCCAAGCTCAAGCTGAGCTATCCCAACCGGACGCACAGCATCCAGAGCATGAGGGCCTCCGGCGCCGGTGGCTATGACATCCAGCACACCACCGCCTACCATCCGAGACTTAACCACTCCACCTCACCGGTGACCAAGGCCAATTACTTCGAGCGACTGCAGGCCAAGACGCGTCAGGGTATCCAGAAAATACGCGACAAGTGCCGGAACTTTAAGACTTCGAGCGGTGGGGAGGGAGGCTCCCTGGGCGGCTCCGAGTTCAGTGGCTTCCACACCCTGGCCAAAGACGAGAGCTTCCGTTTCATCAGCGATCGGGCGCACATCTCCAGCTACGAGTCGAGATGCAAACAAGCCACTATCTACAAGAGCTACAAATCGGAGATCGATCTCAGCAAGAACCTGCATTATCTGGATGCCTATTTGGAGCAGAACTTTGACCACCAGCTCAGCACGACCAAGGAGTCGGCCCATTCGGTGGGTCGGGTGAGTGGAGCCCAGCGGAGAGCCCTGGCCAAGCAGCGACCCGATCCTGCTCCAGAGACTCCTCGTCGACCAAGACACAAACGAAGTCAGTCGCAGGCGGCCAACTATGGTGCTAACTACGAAAACCTTGGAACCCTGCCCATTGCGTCCAAGTCGAAGGCGAGGAGCTCCGCCCTCAACTCGGACTCGATGAGCAGCTCCGACTACGCCTCGGTGTTCAGTGGGCCCACTACAAACAACAGGCAGGAGCTAGGAGCGGAGGAGGAGGCCAAGGACTTTAAACTGCGCTACGAGCACCCGGACAAAATGTGCGAGTACTACTTTGACAACCTAACGAGCTATGCTTTGGCTCTGGAGGAGAGTGAGGACTTGCTGCTGGCGGAAAGCGCGAAATCAGCGAGATTCTTTTACGACGACGAGGAGGAGGATGATGAGGATGCAGCCGGAGGGGCGACAGAAGGATTGGTTGACGTGGATGCGGAGGAGGCGGCTGGTGGAAGGCCGGATTATATGGCACGCGACATACGCATTCGCGTCAGCGTGAACGAATGCGAAGACGCTGATTGGCATCAGCCGGCGAGTGCGACATCCTATAATGAGAATCTGGCCGAGAGCACATTCTACCAGTCCCTCAATCAGCATTTGCAGCGCCAGGAGGCGCCAGGCGACGATGTCGTGGGTTTGGAGGAGCAGAACCTCCTAGTGGGCTGCGAGAGCTACCTGGAGCACTACCAGCGACAACGGGGCAGCAGAACTACGAGAGGGCCTATCCACGGGGTGAGTTCTACGGATTCGGAAGGAGTGCCGGAGGAGAAGGCGGGGAACAGCCGGATGCGGCCAGACAGAGGCGGGCGGACCTCATGGAGGCCCACTACGCCCGCAGCTATCAGTCGGGGGGCAGGAGCCAGAAGGGCAGGCCGAGGACCCAGAACCATGGACTGCAGATGGAGATGGAGCGACAGCACGCAGCAATCCCGGCTTCAGCAGCAGCAACAACCGCAATGCCAGCTGCAACAGGCAGTGTCATCAATTTGGCGCTGCCGGGACAAAGCGGGGATGTACTCTATGCCACCAGCAGCAAGCAGCAGATAACGATGGCGACGCCGACCACAGGGCCACAGTTCCCATCAGCCTAAGCCAGAGCCGGTGGCATTGGGGAGGAGCAGCGGTGGGAGTAGTAGGAACACCAATTGCAGCAGCAGCAACATCGGTCCCTGGCAGCTCAGCCGGAAATGCAAACAATCGTTTTATGCTAGAGAATTTGCGCAAATACTATGCGAATCAGCAGCAACACCCGCCCGCGCACTCGGTTAACTCCTCCTCGCTGTCCAACTCCTCCTCGTCGAACTCATCAATGTCGCAGCAACAACTAAAGCTCAATCTGAACCTGCAACCCACCGCGCCCAAAGTGCAGCAACAACATTTGGGCAACCGGCCGAAACTCGAGCACCTCGAATGCCTCCTCGACCGCCGACAACTTCGACACCTTCATAACGTTGCGCAATGCCAGTGGAAATACGAGCACGGATTATATGGCCAAACAGCAGCAGCAGCAAACATCGTCGTGGCAAGCAGCAGCAACAACAGCAGTCCGTGCCACTCACCTCCGCCCTGAACTATTACGGACACGGTGCCACGCCCACACTGAATCCCGCCCTCGCCTACAATGGCAAATTAACGGCCACCGCAATGTTGTCACAAGTAAATTTAAGCAGAGCAGCCGCTGCCGCAGCAGCAACATCGTCCAGTGTAGCGGCAGCAGCAACAGCTGCCCCACTGCTGCCGCATCAGCAACATTCGAGGTCCACGTCCAAGGGAGAGGGCTTCATCCTCGAATATGAATGTTAGCCCCCGATCGGAATGCTTCGAGGGGGGATTGCTAGTTGTTTCTTTCTCGCATTTGTTTGCCTTGCCAAAAATTACATTACAAATTGGCACATTTGCTTCTACGCTGATTAGGACTCGTGTGTGTACAGATAAAGAGTATTGTAATATATGGAGGAGGAGGAGGATGAAGTAGGAGTTTAGGAATCCCAGCCAATTATTCGTATCATATCAGAGGGAGATGGAGGGGATAGCTAAATCGTTTGCATAGAAAGATGCTTATCCACTGATTATGTTAGGAGATAAATTAACGTAAACTACGACAATAATGCAACAATTCAATTAAAATTGACAAAGATATCTATTATGGATAACGATAAACAAATAGCGTACATTTATTAG